TATAGGATTAGGGACCATTCTATGATTAGGGACTATCCCATATGATTTCGTTAACTAATTACATTTGTAAATGGAAGTGTAATTTACTAAATAATCTTTCTAAATAAGGTCACATTCACAGTTATCAGGAGTTAGAATTTCAAAATATCGCCTTAGGAACCACAATTCAACCCCTCACACATGGTCTGCACGGCTGTCAATTTGTAAGTCAATAGGCAAGGCAACACGTTTCAACAAGATTTATTTATTAGATTAAGTAAATATTCCATGGGTCAAATGACAGGAGAAGCACTGGTAGAAATCAGATTTCTTCCTTTCCTTGATGTCTTCATCTCTAATATTAAGCCCTTAGTTTGTATAGTTATCAGCACTTCTAATTCTTTGTATGAACACATTTCCTTTGAGAAACCTCCTTAGTTTTACCTATTAGTCTCCACATGACATATAATCTCTTTTATGGCACCACACACTCAGGTGTTGGTTTGTAATTTTTCTCTGGCTAAATTATAATTCCACTTAATCTCTTCAGCTATCATGTGACTCATCAAGGATGGTACATTCCACTTTACATCTTCCCAATTATTTATTTGAAGATTTTCTTTAAATTTTGTCCAAAATAAATTATAAAACTCCATAAAAATCTCCTAACCTATTGTGAAATATGTACAAAGCAATTGTGAAGTCAATGAAATTATTACCTCTTTCTGAGGGAATTTTAAATAAGTTTTATTTACTTCATTATAAAAGTAAGCAAGCCATATACAATAGGAGGAAAAACATGGAAAAGATAAAAAAAAAAAAAAAAAGATCAATATAAACTGAATCTAAATCAATCATTCTCAATGCTTTGACAGTTTGATTTCCTTTCTTCTAGTATTGCTTATGTGCTTATGTCTGTATATGTGTGTGTTTGTGTGTAGAGCTGAGTATGGCCTAGAAAATTTTATTAAACCAAACACTGAGGAATTGGGTCAAGAATTGGCATGAGATGTTATGCTTCACTATTATACTGCTGCTGTGCAAACTATTGCCAAAAATATGGACATCAGGATACAATATTTCCAAATCTCTTTTCATAATGATACTGCATTCCCTAAAGATCAGCAAACTATCCTTAGATAATAAAGAATCTAGTTGACAAACCTTCCTGGAGGCACCACAGAAGAAAGGCTTGGTGAACTACGTATGAAAAGTCAGCTATAGAAAACCCTATGGAGCACAGTTCTATTCTGACAGACATGGTGTTGCCATGAGTCAGTACCTGCTCTATAGCAGCTGTTTTCTTTCTTTCTTTCTTTCTTTAAATCTCTCTAGGGTGTGCTGAGAGAACATCGCTGATTAAAATAACTGTATTGTATTTTAAGAAGTCCTGGTGGCACAGTGGGTAAGACATTTGTCTCTTAACCAGAAGGTCAGCTGGTTCAAAACCACTAGCTGATGTGAGGGAGGAAGATGAAGCAATCTACTTCCATAAAGATTTATAGCCTTGGAAACCCAATGGGGGTCACTATGTGTCAGAATTGACTCACTGGCAATGGGTTTAGTTTTTTGCTATATTGTATTTTGAAGAAAAATTGTTGGGATACAGACAGGGAAAGCACAGAACAAAGTATCAGATAATATGAGTTCAAGTTGTGATTCTGTTCACTAACTAGCTGTGTTACATTGTCTGACATGGCCTTCTTTCTCAATGATCTCATTTGCAAAATGCAGATGGATATACTTCCTCTTTCCCAGTTTGATCTTATGCTCAAATAATATGATAATCGTTAAAACACTCTGTGAACGGAAAACTAGCAGAAAAATATTTTGGGCCAACTTTGTATGAATGGCATGACACCTATTTTTAATTTCATCATAAATTTCTTATGTGGACCTCTGGATTAGCTTAGTATACTGACAAATTTCCTTATCACTAAAATAAAAACAATTCACATTGGGAAAATATGCACCCTCCCAAAATCATCCTGAAAGTAACTTACTGTTCCAAATATATGCCTGCAAATTTTCTTCTTCAATATTTCCCTTTAAACCCACATACTTTATTGTGTATGGTGCTATTTATGTTGTTGATTATGGATTTGGCATGCACAAATTAGTCCACAAACTTTAGTTTGCCCTTCCTTCTTCAATCTCTTTTGTAAGTTGCCTCCTATACAACTGGGTATCATGGATGTGTAAAGGCAGTGATTATTAACAATCACAGGTAAGAATGAAGAAAATGACCCATAAAGCATAATAGGAGATGAGAGAGACAATAATGAAATCACTTGTATGTAAAGAACTTTAAGTGTCAAGAGTACCTCTCTGCAAGCCTTTGCTGTACTGTGTCAAGGACACAATCATCAATCCTAACAGGAAAAGAAGCTCAGTTCCTGGAGGTCTCTAGAAAGGCTTGTACATGACTAAAGTGTTTCATAGAAAGGAGTCCCAAGGGTGAGTGCAAAGATAGTAACTCCAGACTATCTAGAAGAAAAATCTGTGAACAGCTCAAAACAATGATCAAGAAATATGTGATGATGCATACTATTAAGGACGTTAACTCAACACCCATGGTACAGGGAAGAAGAACAGAGAATAATGATTACGAAGTCATAGGCCAACTCTATTTCTATAACTTCTATACGTGGGGATGCTAGGAGAGGACAGAGAATTGCAGAGAACGGGAAGAACCGCAGAACTGCATCTGTTCAGTGTTTATAAAAAACCTGCTAAGTCTACACAAAAACAAATCTGTTGGTTTGCATTTGTGCCAAAGCTGGGGTTTTTAGTAGCCACGGGAGTTGTGTAAAATGGGGGAGACGCTTTCATTGGCAAGGGAATATACCTGTTTTCAATTCCCTCCCTCAAAGCGCGCATAGCCAATGTTACTATTTGCTCAATAGAGATCTTTATGAGAGAGAAGAGTTCAACATATAAACATCTGTTCTTGCTCTATGTCTATAGATAGTGATGCTTCACATAAAAAAAAAATGTAATGAATGGTCAAACTAGCAATCTGCTGCTGCTGTTGTTTCTGCTTAAGTTTTTGGTTTTGTTTTCTCCCTGATTACTATACCATGATCATTATATATAGCAAGATCTGGTCTGGAGGACAGATTTTTATTAACTATATGAAATTTTCATTGAAAGCTACAGATAAACCTAGTTTTGTATAAAACCAAAAATAAATAAATAAATAAAACTCATTGCGTGGAGTCGGCAATGCCAACTCATAGCGACCTCTCCTTGGGTTTGCGAGGCGGTATCCCTAGGGAAGTAGATTGCCCAACCTTCCTTCCAAAGAGTGGCTGGTGGGTTTGAATTGCCAGCGTTTGGTTAGTAGTCAAAAGCCTTAGGCACTATGCCACCAGAGCTCCCAGTTTTCTATAGCTTTTCTTTTCTTTCTTCTTCTTCTTTTTTTTAACCTTACATTTTTTCAACACATTTGGTTTGATATATTACAAAGAATAAGTGGCAAATGAGTGAAAAGGATTTGATATCCTTTAAGGGTCACGCCCCTTGACCTTTTTCATTTTGTATTTTCCACACCCAGATAATTACCAGGATATAGTAAATGCTTAACAAATATTTGTTGAATGACTGGTATGTATATCCTGTGTATGTGTGAGTATTTAGATGGTGAAAAGTTCAGATTGTAAAAATAAGTTGTACTGCATATACAGTGTGGATGAGTGTATCTCATTTTAACATCTGGAATATCTCATGCAGGAAGAAAATGGATACTTGAGAAAAAAATAATTAAAGCCCTTCAGTAGGTCAACCTTAAAGATTTTTTAGAGATTTTGAAAGTGACATCCTAGAGCCTTTGTGTAGAGAGTAGAATGAAAATTTTGGACGTACGGTGCCACCTCTAAAGACTGACTTTTTGCTGTAATGTATTTGCCAAGATTACTTTATGCTCTGCAACTTACTCCCTTTGCAGTCTTCCAACTGCAGAGAAAGGAGTCAGATAAGCATTTTTGGTTACTTCTTTTAAATGAAAATCCCCAAATACATTTAGTCATTTATGTAGGCAATCCTGCTCACCATCCCATCCCCTACTGAGGGTCACTGCTGCAACATTCCTCCTTTCCAAGTTGGTAGGAAATGCTGTAGCTTTGTGATCATTTTCTTCAAAGGATGTAGGAAGGGAGATTGTTTCCCCCAACTAGCTCATAGCATAAATAGACTGAGGTTACGCAGGCGAAGTGACTTGCCTATAGGCTCAGAACTAGTAAATAAGTGCTAAACCTAAGTACATCCGGAATAACAAATGTCACTTGTCCTATTCTTAGTCTAACGTTTACAAACAGCAGGAAAATCAACTGCAAACAGAGGACTGAAGGGGAAGGGTATGAGGTGGTTCTGAGCCTGGGGATCACCTGCTCGCTGGGATCAAAACATTGAAGCAAGCCATTCATAAAGACATCAGTGACGAGAGAGCCATTGTTTTCGGAGCCAGCTGTGGAGAATCAGCTCAACAGTGGCCTTGGAGCAGCTGCGGCTGCTGCTTCAGGGAGAAGGCGATTCTGGAAAAGGAGTGAGCAAAATTGAAGGCTGCAGGGCCCGGGTCGCGCCACCTCCGGGCAAACCAGGAAGTACCTTTGCTGTGAGTGCAATGAACTGGGCCACCTTTTGAACCTATCGGAAGTGTGGACATCTTATAGCAGGCCCCACTAGGGTGCAGCAACTGCAAACCCTCTGTGGGCCGTTGCCCGAAGGCTGCAGAATGGTTAGAGCTGGGAGCAGCCTGATGGCGCTATCAGAAAGTACACAGAGCAGAACAGGCTCTGCAGTTGCAGCAAATTGTAACCGTGCAAAGTCCGGGGTAAACAAGCTTCCCTGCAGCTGCCTCCAGAAGCGCGCCCCTAGCGCGGTGCTCTCCCCGCATTTCTCACGCACACGGCACTCAGCTTTCGGCTCTGCAGCCTCCGCCGCCCTCTTCCCCCGGCTCCAAGCTCTGATCGCCCCATCTCCCGCACCAGGCCCGCCGCCTGAGCCTGGCACCCCACACTCACCATCTCTTGCCTGAGGAGGTGAAGCTTGGTTTCCAGCCTCTCCAGGGCGCTGGAGTGGCTACGTCGTGGTGAGCCAGAGGTTGGGGAGGACGAAGAGGAGGAAGACAAGGAGGGAGGGAAGCTGCAGCAGCTGCTGCTGCTACTGCAGCCGCCACCGCCGCAGCTCCCCCCGCAGGGGTCTCTGTCCCTTTCCTGGGGAATCGGCTCCTCCCCGCGGAGCGAGCGCACTAGGCTCTCCGGCACTTTGCGCCCCAGCTTCAGTTCGATGTCCCTGAGGTCTGGCAGCGGACCGTCTTCCATGACTTTTCAAAGACAGTGAGAAAGGTAATCAAACGCAGAGGATGAGAGGCAGCTGGGCCTCGGAGGCTGCGGCGAGATCGGCAGAGCCCCTTCGGGCGTCGGGTCTCTAGCCTCGGCGGATCGAGCGCACTGTCCGCTTCATAGCCGCCTCCGTGGTGTCAGCCCTGAAATCAGCACAGGACGCGGCAGGTCGCGACCGCAGCTCCCTGAACGCTGCGACGCCGCCGACACTTGTTATGATGATCGAAATCACCTCATACTCTTCTTTTTTGGCTATCCACTGCAAAGTTGAGTTAATCGATATTGCAGAGAGGGAGAAAAAGCAAGTGCCATTGGCCAAAAGAAAATGCAATCTGTCTTAGCTTCACATTGTAAAACTGTCCGCTCACATCTCTGCGCTGTTCACTGACTGCCCATCTGATACCCTGCGACAACAAAATAACGATGTGGTCACACTCCTGAGTCGTTTCATTTTCCAGCCATATGTCTCCAAGCTTTTGGGATATCCTGGATTGTCAGAAATAATCTACGGTCAGTGGAAAAGGAGGTCGGTCGTGTGCATGACGCATAAAAGAGAAAGATTTAGCTTTAACAGGAGTTTAACCGCTTCCTAGATGCAGCACAACTGCCGCACCACTGCCGGTCTTCTCATTTAGGCTGTTTGATCTAAGTGGCGTCCCTCCGAGCCTCTGAAACTTTAAACTCGTCTGGCAGGTGGACCAAACCAAGGCCAACCCTTCTACCGTATACCACAGACAAAAAGGGCGAGGTAATTTTTCTCAACCCTGCTAATAGCAGCAAAGTTTAAGCGTCCTACTTTGAGTTGACAATGCCCAATACTGGTATTACCCAGCGCCGTGGAGTCTGCTCCAACTCATAGAGACTTCTATTGGGTTTCCGAGGCAGTGAATCTTTACCAAAGCAGATTGCCCAGTCTTCTTCCTGCAGAGTGGCTGCTGGGTTTGAACCGCCAACCTTCTGATTAGCAGTCAAGTGCAGGCACTGCCTGCGCCACCAGAGCTTCTTAATATTAGTACTAGAGCTTCCTTTTTCCTGATGAAATCCCCTGGTGCTTTTGTTACTTTAAAACAGTTTACAAAAATTAGAGACAATTAAATTTGTTTTCCTTGTCCACCCTTACTTATCTAAAAGGAAAGAATAAAGCTTTTGAAGCCCTTCCTTATGACTTTATGCTAATAAAGAGGAAATCAGTTTCATCAAAAGTTCAATGAAAATTAATTGTCTTACCAAAGTTGTGTATGTCATCACAAACAAGTGAAAAATTAAATAGTCCGAATAGCTTATATGACAATTGAGATAGTGACATTTTTTGAGGAGAGTTCAGAGTTCATTTCACTGTAATTATGGAAAAAAATATTAATCATAATAGTAGTAAACAATTTGTCTTCTTTGATAATTTTCTATAGTTTTCAACTATTTAGGAGAAACCCAAAGTGTGCAACTTATTGTTCTGAGATACTTCTACCAATATGTTTGCTATGAGCTATGTGGATTACAGATTTGATTCAGCATAGTGTGTTTCAATAGCCTTCAATTTGGAAAATACTATTTTCAGTACAGTAGAACACAAATTTTGTTTTCCATTGGAATATTTCAAAGTATAGGCCCCTCTATGCAAATATAAATTTGGAATCTTAGTCCTTCCTGGGACTATCTATTGGCAAAGACACCATGTAAGTTTTACAAACTGGTAAGCACATAGGCAGATAGAGTTTGTTTTTATTGCAGCCTTGTCTATGAAACTGCTTAAGGATAGGAAACATGGGCTTTATGAATTAAATATTTCATGTCAGGGAGAGAATTGTTGACATTCTTCTGTCAACATGCCAGAAATTTGTATGTTATTTCTAACTCTCAAAAAAAAAAAAAAAAAGAAAGAAAATAGTTGTAAGTTAAGTGCCTCATTTTAAATTTGGAACCACCATTTATGGAATCAAAGGAGAACAAGACTAAATCTCAACTCACTGATGAAATGTCATGCTTTGTCCTAAAATTGGAAAACCACAACCTCATTGGATAAGACTTGCACTGTGACATGTAATTATGGAATGCTTGCATTGCAGTCAAGAAAGTTTATTACAAACACTTACAAAGTTCAGTATAAAGATGGCTTATAAGAGCAACTTATAAATGTACTACCTAGCTAGAACTTGGTTAATAAAAGTTTATTTTCAAATTACTATCTATATAACTGTATAAAAATGAACACTTCATTTACTGTGAGTCAGAGAATAAAATTAGTGTGTAATACTGAAGATAACAACTCTAAAAATAGCCATTTTGCTGCTTAACTAAGTCTACAGAAAATCTCTTCTGAGAGTAAAAATGTGACCTATTTGTGTTATATAAATGCAATATAAAACAAATTTAAACTTCTTAAGAAAAGCTTAGTTGATAAGGCTTTTAAAATTTCTTAATTTAATGACATTTTAGTTTAAAATAGAAACATTTCAAATGCCATTTTAGCTATTTTTCAAAAAATAAAAGAATTATAAAACTTTTTATAGGCCTATAAACTCGATGGCAGTGAGTGATAATAGATTGTAATCTATTACAACTTAGGAAATCCTATGGGGCAGTACTACTCTGTCCAACAGGGTCACTATGAATCAGAATCTACTAGAGAGCATACAACATCATAATAGAGCATATTAACACTATCACTACTGCTTCATGTGACCTGCTCTGAGAAGATTCCTCCCCAAAATGTTCAACAAGAAAAGTCATTTTGCTGTGGATTTTAAGAATGTATTTTTCTTTGATTTCAAAATACTTCTATAAAAAAAGAAATGTATAAGAGGCTTAACCAATTGCTAACTGTTAGCCTTCTTTGTTGATTACATTATTTGGAGAAACAGTTGACAAGATGTTGCAATAAGGGGTTCAAGATAGGTGCTTGGGATGGGAGTGAGGTCATCAATAAGTAGGAGAGGAAACTCAGGGAGAAATAATGAAGCAATAGGGAAAAACTTGTTAGGTCAGTTTTTATATATTTTGTTGAGCTCTCACTCTCAACACCACTCTTTCACAGCTCTTACCTCTCTTTTCTATTTCACCCACCTCTTGCTTGGCTCTCCCAGGAACAAACCAAATTCAATGTATTTCCCCAAGCATACTACAATGAACCACCACTCCTCTGTCAGTTTGTCATATGTTGGTGATTTGCATGTTGCTGTGATGCTAGATACTCTACTAGCAAGTCATTCATGGTGCAAAGCTTTCAGCTGAGTTTCCAGACTAAGACTGATAGGAAGAAGAATGTGATGGTCTAGTTCTGAAAAACTTAGCCTATGAAAACCTCATAAATAGCAGCTGAGCATTGTCTGCTATAATGTCAGAAGATGAGCCCTTCAGGTTGGAAGACACTCAAAATATGACTGGAAATAGGTTGCAAAACAGAGTCGACCTTAATGGTATGGATGGAGTAAAACTTTCAGAACCTTCATTTGCTGATTTGTCATGACTCAGAATGAGAAGAAACAGCTGCAAGCATCCATTAGTAATCAGAATATGGAAACCTAAGAAGTAAAATTCCAGGAAAATTGGAAATTGTCAAAAATGAAATGGAACACATAAACACAGATATCCTAGGCATTAGTGAGCTAAAATGGACTGATATTGGCCATTTTGAATCAAAAAATCATATAGTGTACCATGCCAGTAATGACAAATTGAAGAGCAATGTTGCAACATTCATTGTCAAAGGAATATTTCAAAATCTATCTTGAAGTACAGTGCTGTCAGTGTTAGAATAATATCCATATACCTACAAGCAAGATCAGTTAATACAACTATTATTCAAATTTATGCACCCATCACTAATGCCAAATATGAAGAAATTAAAGATTTTTACCATTATCTGCAGTCTTAAATTGATCAAACATTCAATCCAAATTCATTAATTATTAATAGTGATTGGAATGGGAAACTGAGAAACAAAGAGGGATCCAAACCAAACCAAACTCACTGCCATCTAGTTGATTCCAACTTATAGTGACCCCTCCTTGGGTTTCCGAGGTGGTATCTCTACAGAAATAGATCGCCCAGTCTTCCTTCTGAGGAGTGGCTGTTGAGTTTGAACTGCCAGCCTTCTGGTTTGCAGTCAAATAAATTAGGCACTGTGCCACCAGAGCTCCCAAAGAATGACCCAAACCAAAAACCAAACTCACTGTCGTTGAGGATCAATAGTTGGAAAATAGGGATTTGGTGAGAAATGATGTTAACAGTCACATGATAAAATTTTTTAAGACCAATGACTTACTCATTACAAGTATATATTTTCAGCAATATAAATGGTGACTATATATGTGGAGCTTACCATATGAAATACACAGGAATCAAACAGTTCAAACCCACCAGCCACTCCTCGGAAGGAAGATTGGGCAATCTACTTCTCTAGTGATACTGCATCAGAAACCCAAGGAACGGTCGCTATGAGTTGGATCCGACTCGATGGCAGTGAGTTTGGTTTTGGTTTGTGGAAAGAAAAGCTAGGGAAACTCAATATTATCCATACGAAAATTACAACTCCAGAAGAGACCATCAATTGCTTATATGCAAGTTCAAGTAGAAGCTGAAGAAAATTAAAACAAGTCCATGAGAGCCAAAGCACAACCTTGAATATTTCTCACCTACATTTCAAGAATAGATTTGATGCTTTGAACACTAAATGACCAATGAATGACAGGACAAATTGTGTGATACTGTGAAGGATATCATACATGAAGAAAACAAAAGGCTATCAAAAAGACAGGAAAGAAAGAAAAGACCAAAAGGGATGTCAGAAAATAGTCTGAAACTTACTCTTGAATGTAGAGTAGCTGCAGCGAATGGAAGAAATGATGAAGTAAAAGAGCCAAATAGAAGATTTCAAAGGGCGGCGGAAGAAATAAAGTATGATAATAAAATATGCAAAAACTTGAGTTAGAAAACCAAAAGACAATAGACATTCCTCAAGTTGAAGAACTGAAGAAAAACTT